CTACATCATCACCCTCACCTTTTTCATTGGCGTCACCACGGTTACTACATAGTGTGTTGCCATGACAGTGCGTTCATGGGTTTAAAAAAAAAAGATGGAGTGAGGGCAGCAGAGATCTGTGGAGCTGGATAGCCTGTTTCAGTGCGACGTTTAAAGGGGCACTCCAGGGATTTAGTTTCCAAAAGCACTGGATCCTATACTTCCCATAATGCAACTTAATAATGTCTCTCATTAGACTGTTTCTGCCATGTCTTTCAAACTCCTTGACCTTTCAGTTTCATTTATATTCTCCAAGCACTCACTGGAATAACCCTGATGATGTCATAGTGATGTCATCAGGGTTATTATTTCAGGTTCAAGCCAATCTTTATGTGTGAAACTGGTGGAGTGTCCCTTAAAGTTCCAAACAGAAACTGCGTCCAGCGAGGTGCAACACTCGATATCGCATCTGATCTCGGCCAATTAAGAGTTTCACAGTCCTTAAGCCGCCACACTCCACATATAAATGACTAAGAATTCAGAGAATAGTTGTGGTATTTAAATTATGATCACATAGAGATTATATATATGGATATTTGCAAAAAAAAGAAGTGTATTTATGATGTGTGTGTCATCCTGAAGACTATTTTTCAGTAAACAGATCTAATCTGCTTTTCCATGCTTAAGTGGTCCGAGCTGATGAACCATTGTAGGATATCATGTTGGGATATTTCCAGGAAGCGTTTGTTTTTGTTTTTTTGTGTACATGTGTCCAGGTGTGGCGATGTGTATAATACAAGCAATTCTTGTTGTTCTGTTTTTATTATTTTTGTATTATTTTAAATGCAATGTTTTTTTCTTTGAAACATGTGCCTTGCTTTGTGATTTTTGGTCTGACTACAATACAGTAGATGGGTATGTACAATATATGGGGATCTCTCTCTTATTCTGTTTTGCTCTGTTATATCGGATATTACCCCCCATCACCAATGAGATGTGATATTTGAAACGTAAAGTCATCAGACCTCAACCAAACCCAGGTAACCACATATGACATCCTGCTGTTCTGTTATTCACTATCAGTCTTAATTTGGTCTTTTAAAACTGGCTCTTCTCCATCTGACTGAACAATTAGAAAATAACTTATTCCAACGTCTCCAGAGTTAGCTGCCTAGCATTCACATGCTATTCTGTGGGAACATTAAAGGTTGTAATAGTGCAACATTTTGGGAAATATACTTATACCACTCTCATGTCTGTAGAGTAAATATACACCTACAGCCAAGCAGCGTGTTAGCTTAGCTTAGCATAAAGACCAGAAACAGAGCTTGCTATTTCACAAATTCAGTTACATCTTGTATAATTCGTACAAAACCGAAGTCTAAAAAAGAAAGGGCCAGCAAAACACAATGATAAAAAAAAAGGTATTGTGATAATTTATGCATCGCAATTTTTATGATTGATATCATAATAATGTGATGTTTGTTGGGGTCTGTACCAAACAAGCATGTTTTCTTACATCTGGAGAACATTTGTAGTCCAAAGCACCTCTGATGGACTACAATACCTAATTATAATGCTCTCTTGACTTACATATTACCTTTATCCAGCAAACTGTAGCTTCATGCTATTTGGATATTGGACTTGACCATATTGCGAGTTCAATAATATTTTAAATAATTGTGATACTGCTAGCAGTAGCTTCAAATATAGCACACACGTGAATTACTGCAAGAAACAGAATAAGCAGATTTCCCAAAATGTAGCTATACTAAAAACACGCCAACACTAATCAGTAAAATGTCAGTAATGATGGTATGAAGAGCTGTTTGATGAAGTCCGTATTTTAGTTTTCTCCTTAGGTCAGATTTCATCATCGTTTTTTTTAAAAAGTTATCAAATTGTAGCCCCGTCATGTCAGAGCCACATTTAACCTCTTCTTCTTCCTTGGGTCTCATTTTGGTCATCTCTCATGTTGTAGGCATTAACTTCGAGGTGTGTTTGGGCGTGTGGGGAAAGGTGAAATACTGCAGACGTTGAAAAAAAACACAGATGGTCAAATATAGCGAAAAGTACTGTTCATTTTCTTTCTCAACTAAAGAATAAGCCAAGCTGTTTTTATTTGATTTCCCGCCTGTGCTTATCTGATCGGACACTGGACTGGTGTCTCCTCTGCTCTGCAGTGACTGTATGTGAATGCTTGAGAGAGGCCGTGTGTGTGTTATGTGTTGCTCTGCTATTGACTGTATGAAACGGTATGAGTGTGTGAATGTGTGTGTGTGTTGTAGTGACTGGACAGTTGTGTGCTTGCAGTGACTGCATCTTATGGCCATCTGCTCTGAATAAATAAATGTTCTCTACAAACTGCACTGTCCCCAGCCTCCCTTTGTGATGTGAACTTTGTATTTTCAAGGTCCTCCTCCAGGGGGCAGCATGTGACTGCAATACAGCACTACACTGTTCAATGCAGTTTTTACGAAGCCTCTTCACAGCCCTGTTACTCTCACACAGCTGTTTCCACTTAAAGCTGCAGCAGGGAACATTCATAAAAAAACAACTTTTTGTCATATTTTGCTGAAACTTTCACTATATCCCGACAGCATTACATGAGACAGATTTTCATTTTGCAAGAGTCCACCAGGCCTGAACAAAAGCAACCAATCAGAGCAAAGAAAGATAGAAAGACACTTTTGGTTGGAGGCTTGAAGATAGATCAAATATAGGTGGATTCTTGTAAATGCCATTAGGAGCACCTGGAGGAACCAGAGGAACCAGATTTTTTGCCTTTAACTGACAATGACAGCTGAAGAGTAAGGTCGGATTCAGACCCTGGGCCGCTGCAGCAAGGACTCAGCCTTTGTACAAGGACGGCAGCTCTACTAGCTGAACTATCTAGGCGCCCCCCTTTTCCAGTCTTTTGGCTAAACCAGCTAACCAGCTTCTCATTTAACTCTATGCAACAGAACACATTTTAAAGTGACCAGAGAAAGATATGAAGACGCTTTCGGTTGGAGGCTTGAAGATAGGGTCCCAAACTGTCTGTATGAGACGACCTGGGAATGACACTCAACAATCAACT